GGGTGGGTTAGGGAATTGATATATGTATTGGTGTTTTTAACTGCTGTACGCCGCCCCGATTGCGCTGCAGAGGGGCGGGATTATTATTTTTATTATTATTATTATTATTATTATTATCATAATCATCTAATCATCCTGATATCTAACCTCTACTCTAGACAAGAAGCTGCTGTTAGAACAAAATATAGAGAAACAGATTGTTCCCGGTAAGCAAAGGGATAAGGTAAGGTTGTATATTATCACCTTATTTATCCAACCTGTATGCAGAAAACATTGTTCGCACAGCAGGCTTAGAATCAAAGACAGGGGGAATGAAAATCGGAAGAAGGAACATTAACAACCTAAGATATGCAGACAACACAATATTATTAATGGAAACCAACAAGGACATGGAACAACTACCAAAGAAGGTCAAGGAGGAAGATGCCAATGTAGGCTTAATGCTAAACATTAAGAGAACAAAAATAATTACCACAGAAGAGTACAAGAATTCCTCATAGACAATGAGAAAATTAAAACAGTCAAAGAGTTCCTATACCTTGATCAAATAGAGATTAGAATGGAAACTGCAGTCAATAAATCAGAAGAAGACTAGGAATGGGAAGGGCAGCTATGAAAGAACTAGATAAAATCCTAAAGAACAAAGATAAAACTGAATAAAAGCGAGGGTAGTCCAAGCCATTGTATTCTCCATCACAATGTATAGATGCAAGTATTAGACAGTGAAGAAAGCTGATAGAAGGAAAATCAACTCATTTGAGATGGGGTACTGGAGATGAGTGCTGAAGATACTGTGGATGGGCAAGAAGACAAACAAATGGGTCCTAGAACAGATCAAGCCGGAATTCTCCCTGGAAACCAGGATGACCAAATTGAGACTGTCATACTTTGGTCACATCATGAGAATGCATGAATCATTAGAAAAGACAATGATGCTGGGAAAGATAGAGGTCAGTAGAAAGAGGAAGACCACACACCAGACAGTTAGACCTGATCAGGGAGGTCACAAGCCTGAACCTAGAAGACCTGAGCAGGGCAGTTGAGGACAAAGAATCTTGGAGATGTCTCACTCACAGGGTTGCCATGAGTCAAAGTCCACTCAAGGGCAGCTAACATGTTTTGCTAATATGAAAGCAGACATTCAAGCTACATATTTGTGTCCATTTATAATGACAGACTTGCTCTGTGTAGACCATAGAATGGCCAAGGGATACTATATATGTTGGAAGTTTCTTGTGCTCTGTGTTTGTGTTTGTGTGTAGTATACAAAACTTGGGTTCTAGACTTCAAAAATTCTACTCTGGATCCTTGATTATTTTGTTTTGTTGGTTTATGGTACTCTTAGATCTGATATTTTAATCTTGATTTTATGAAGTTGTTTTATACAGTGCCTAAACGCCCTTGATCCAATAAAAATATCCACAAACATAAGGGGGAGGCAGTTTTTGTTTATTCTTTCTCCACTCTGTGCAGTGGATCTACTGCAGTGGATTCATTGGGAGATGCTGGAATAGTGTGTCATGAGAGGACATGACAGTACATTGCAGTACATTGCCATCACTTCTGTTTATGGATTGGAAGGACATGGTTAGAACCTTGGGAGAGTGAGCACATTCTAGTCTCTTGTATCATACTTATATGCATCTTAGGCTGTGTTGAGATACACATTGTCTTAGGGCCTTTGCACACTTCACAATTATAGCACTATGATTCCAGTTTAACTGCCTTGGCTACATTGTATTGAAACCTGTAGTTTGTAATTTGATGAGGCTCTAGAACTTTCTGGCTGAGAGCTGAGGAGAATACCCTCTCTGCCATCTGACATCATCTGGCCTCAGAGGGAGAGAAAGGCCAGCCAGCTTCAACAGGCCTGGCCTAAAAGTAAGAAGAGCCCTTCCTCCAGTCCATCTGCCATGGTCCAGACCTCAGAGGGAGAGAAGAACTACTGGACTTATTCTCCTTTCCCGGTGTCATTCCCTACCCCTTTTGTATCATGTCTTTTTTAGATTGTAAGCCTGAGCCTGAGGGCAGGGAAATGTCTAATTAACTATCTGTAAGCCCTTCTGCAAATAAATAAATAAATAAATAATTTGTTGTTGTTTTTTTAACTGCCTTTGTGTCAATCTCAACCCATGGAGACCCTGCTGATGAGACATCTCCAGGCCCCCTGTTCCCTACTACTCTGCCCAGCTCCTGCAGAATCATATTCATGGTCTCTTTAATGAAGTCCATCCATCTAGCATGTGGCCTTCCTCTCATTCTAATTCCTCCATCCTAATATTATTGTTTTTTCAAATGATTCATGCCTTCTCATGATGTGTCCAAAGTATTTCAGTCTACGTTTGGCTTCTAGGCATATTTCTGGCTTGATCTGCTGTAGGACCCATTTTATTTTTTATTTTTGTCTTTTTGGCTATCTGTGGAATCCTCAGCACTCTTCTCCAGCATCACATCTCAAATACGTTGATTTTCCTCCTATCTTCTTTCTTAACTGTCCACCTCTCACATCTATACATGGTAATAGGGAATACAATGGCTTGTACGATTCTGACTTTTGTGCTGAGTTGTATATGTCTTTGCATTTTAGGATCTTTTCTAGTTCTTTCATAGCCACCCTCCCATTCTTAATCTTCTGATTTCCTGGCTGCAGTCCCTGTTCCGATCAATGTTTGATCCCAGATATGAGAACTCTATTTCTATTTCCTCATTGTCTAGTTTGAATGTGTGTAAGTTGAATGTGTAGTCATTATTTTTGTTTTCTTTATGTTCAACTATAAGCCTGACTTTGCACTTTCTTCTTTGATCTTCCTTATTCCATAGGATGAAGCCATGGCTGTTAAAGTGGAATTATAGTGCTATAATTGCGTAGTGTAGCCTTTCACTCTATTTTTTTGGTAGAACTGATGTTGAAGACACCAACTCCTGTTCTCCTTACTTTTCTAAATGATTCCGTTTGGGTTGGGAAGGAATGTCAGTGTTAACACACTGTATGTAGGAAGGACAAAGTTTGTAGAAGTAAGATATAGATAAGAAAACAAGCTGAAAATTGGTGCAACTGACTTGTTATCACAAGGCAAAATGCAAGTCAGACAGTTTGGTAGGGTAGTGAGTCATGGGGAGAACTGAATAAATACATACATTTCTGAAGCTTTATATTATATTATGTCATATTATATTTTATATATAATCACTCTTCATATAGAGATAAGGAGAATACTTAAGATATGATCTGCATAGTAACATATCTGGTTTTACTTTTAATTAAGCAGGCATAGATTGAGCTCTCTCTGGTGGAGGCCCAATGGAAACTGGTCCTCTAGGAAATGGAAGGACTAAGGGCCTAAGCAGACTGCCAGAAATAGTGCACATTAAATTGAGGCACTGCCCTGGCTCAGTGCTAAGGAATCATGGGAACTGTAATTTATTGTGGCACCAGAGCTCTCTCACAGAGAAGGCTCAAT